AAGGCTATCGTACTTGTAACAGCATCCATACATAAGGCATGAATCTCGCTTGTAGTCGCGGCATCCTATATAAAAATCCGCAGTATGCACTTTCTTCTTACAGTCACTATAAATACGAAAGGTACAACGTGTCCTACATTCCCTTGATGACTCTTTATGCACGCACACTATCGCGTACCATTCGTTTTCATTGGCCAAGGTCATTATACATTGATGTTTCTTCTTTCGAGCGGAATTGTCGGCGATTCATGCTCCCGGGCAAAAAACGAGGCGCGGAAAAACGCGTGCGCGTTTAAAAGTTACGAGATTTTGTTGTTCATGGCCGCTTACGTAAAGGTCCGACCTACCCGTAAGTCCTTTTGCCCGAGAAATCTATACTAATTGTGAGAAATGATTTGCATCTAGATATAAGGAAAAATTCAAAAAAGTTTTAATATTGCAATATTTACAAAAATTAATTTAAATATGGAAAATATTGGAATTTTACCGACATATAACTTCTGCAAATATTTAAAATATATTTATTATATTATATTATTTATAATATACGTACTTCTTCAAAGTTTCAATAAATGACAAAATGTATAGAATAAACGGAAAAAAAAAGAAAAATTGTTTTTATTTTATATTAAATATTTGTTAACTTAGATTAATATATTCTGCATATTTTTAAAAAGTGAATAGTGAAGTTGTAAAATACAATATTCAAATTCTCAGAATCATAATAAATTAACGTTACGTTAAAACATGTTAATCAGAGTGTTTATTTGAACACTAGTGCACTATATTACTTGTTTTTTAAGCCTGTAATTCTTTCTTCCACTCTTCCTTAGCAACTGATAATTGTAGAATATGAATGCTTTCCATTTACTTCCTTTAGTGACACAAGTCGATACAAACATCGTTTTATCTTTCATGATATTCCAGTGAAATAACGATAGAACGACATTTGTGTTGATTTGTGCTCAAATGGAAAATACCCTGTAATACGTTACTTGCTTATCATTTTTAACTTGGATTAAATATTTACTTATTAGTGCCTGTTTTTTTATTTCTTTCCTTATTTCATACAAACTAAATTAAAATATAATATCAACACTTCTTTGGTTCAAATATAAAAAGGACCGAGATAAAAGACAAACGCATTTAACCAACAATTAGTTCATATTTTTACAGAAAGCAGTATTGAAAACTTTGAGCGGTACTATAAGTTAAGGGAATAACAACTTTTAAAACATACATCTTTTAATTATAATTTCAAATTTTATATTTTATTCAATATTATACGACCATAATTCTATGATTTCACAAGCATCAAGTAAAACAGAATACCGTTTATGTAATTGTTATCTAACCATCATTGACCTTCGATTTATTAGATCGTGTCCTCACCTAGCAAAGTTTAAAATAACCGTTTTTATACTATTTTATATTTTATATATATATTTTATATTATAGATAATTTTAATCATTGGTAATTTTTCCGTACGGTATTCTTAGTTAAGACCATTGTCTTTGAACAATGATTTCGCACAATGGCAGGCCCTGTTCCGGTAATTATGAAAACAATTAATAGGAAGACACGATCGGAAGTGGTGCGTGCGATATTCCGTTGTATCGCGATTTGACGCGCGCGCAATGCAAGTGCATATAATAAATATTGTTCTTTTCTTCTTACAGAGGCGGGATTCTCAATCAAGGTGCTGTATAAGTATGAAAAGGAAAGTTCGGAGTCGACGATGCGCGTAAACGGGCATTCGGAACAGAGTGCGAGGCAAGAAATGGGTAAGGCTGCGCTTTTTATAGTAATAGTGCTATCGTGACGAATTATTTATTGAAAATTGCAACAAAGTTAAGTTGTTCCCTCTACCGTAATAATTGGAGTGTATTTTCAGTTAAACATCTCAATTATAGTAACTGGAACTTACAAAATATTTAAAAACAAAGAAAATCAATAATTAAAAAATTACGAATAATAATTAATGACTCAAAAAAGAATTTAAAAGATTGGTAATTAAAGAAATGAAGAGAGTTTATTCTAAAAAAATGTATGCGTATATTAATATAAAAGTAATGTAATTGCAAATAAATTGACTCGAACAATGTTCTCGTTGACCTGTGTGTCATTGATTTCTAGCAGAATGCTAAATTATGTCTGGTCAAATTATATATAGTCTCTATCATATATATAGAATTCGATAGAATCCTCGCACAAGGACGCATTTCGATTAAAAAACGACGATTCGATACAATGTGCACGCTTGCACACGCGTCACGTAACGCATTGTCTACGGCGCGGTGGCACTCGTTACATAAGCCATTCAAGGTGGTATGATGACGTTATTTGAAGGTGCGTCCATAGTGCTCATCCTGTTCTTTCATTAATAACGATCTACCGGTTCTGAAGCATAGCTAACGGTGCCTTCTGGAATTTCACAAAATTTTTCACCTTCTCCTTTGCCTGAACTTTCTGAACAGCGGAATATCTTTTCAATTCGCTCGTTGCAGAATTATGATGTCTGCACTGCGTCTATCGAGAAAAATTCTGATCGGTTTTCGTCGAGAAGAAAAATCTCTTCATCAAACGCATGATTGCTTTCCAAACCTATTTTCGTCATCGTCGTGAAAAATTGATTCTAAATCTGATAGAGTATACACACGTGATTGAACAAAATGAATTTTTTATGTTCGACTACACCGAGAAAAAAAAATTCTAAATTTCAATAAATATTTATTTGAATAGTACCAATTAAATATTTATTAAACATAAAAAAATATTTATTTGGTACAAAAAACATTAATTTGATTTAACAATTCGTTTTTTTTTTTTAGTAAGTAAATATTTATTTATTGTAAATTTAAATGTTTAGTTAGCAGTATTCAAATAAATATTTATTTAAATTTAGGCTATTTTTTTCTCAATGTAGCTTGAAAAGTAAAAATATGAATAGAACTTTATAAGAGCAAATAAAAATATTTAAAAAAAAGAACAGGAAAAAAGAAAAATTATAAATATTAAAAATTAAAAATTAAAACTCACGTAATATATCTGCAAAATAGATTGTTTAAACGTAAAAAACGAAATAATAAATAGATTCAGAAATTTAATAGGTCGGAAAAATCAAATACTAACTGTATATCATCATTGTTAGGCTAGATTGAATTCTGAAAAAACTCGTTTAGCATCAATATCTTATTGACGTAACGCGGAAGTGTGAGATGGGTGATTTATGTGTAACAATCATCAATTGAGTTCATTCCGTTGTTAACGTTACTTGCTTAATTGAGCGACAGTGAAGCAGTTACGCCCACGTATCGACTTACGGATTCTATCTAAAAATATATCGTCGATAACCAACCTGCAGTCGATTACTTTCACATCAGCTCTGTTTTGGAGACGTAGGATACAAAATACGAAGAAAATCGTTATTTTTATAGATATATCAGGCGGATTTATGTATAATGATTTTTGATAATTGATTAGCAGATAAATAAATTGATATTTTGATAAAATAAAAAATACACTTATTAGATATGTAACTAAAATTATCATATTATGAATAATATAATATATATAATAATATATAATATAATATAATATATAATATATTCAAAAAATATCTGAAAAATATTTAAAATACATAATCACATAATTTAAAAAATGTGATGTAGAGAATGTTAAAATTCAAATATAAAATATAAATTTTTATTACAAGTTTAAATTTAAAATTTATAATTTTACACTAGTTAAAAAGTTCTTTTTAAAAAAATATATCATCTAACTTTGCTGTTTATTGTTATTTTTGTGAATGTATGCAATCGTTATACAAT